GAAACGCTAGTTTCTACATAAATACTGATCGTCCTCGTCATATTGATGTGCTGTCATACCAAGTGTTTGTGAGTTTCTCTTATTCCGTTTTATATAATGGTCACTTGAACTGAACTTGAACTTGTTTAGTTTAAATTGGTATGTATTTTTATGTAAGTAGCATAATGATATATAACTCCATCTGAGCAATAAAATATTGAACCCAACTTTGCATAAAGTGATTGTTCCTATATAAACGACAATAGTTGTTCCATTAATACAACTACAGCTTTTCTACGTACTGTTTAAACATCTTGAATCAGATTCTCTATTAAAAAAAAGTACTAATTAGGACTCATACAGACATCCTGCAATTTCCAGTGCTGACATTTTTGTTTAAATATTGCATATGAATGCACGTGATTTGAAGCTTGGTTGGGTAGAGTATTTGAAGCCTTGGTGGTTAGGGAATTAGAAAGTGTTTAATTTGTACATTTTTTTTTTATTTATTTTTTTAACATTGTATAGGTATTTTATTTAGGTATGTGTACATGTAAGTGACATTAAAAAAAGATACACAGATATTCCGGAAAATTTGTGTTTAATGTGTACGTACATGATTAAAGCTTTGATGGTCGGGACATTCATTAATGCCTCATATAAAGGTACACGATATAAAGCTTGGGTGGATAGGGAATTTATTAGAGACATTAATTAAAAACTTGGACGGGTAGGGAATTTATTAGAGACATTAATTAAAAACTTGGACGGGTAGGGAATTTATTAGAGACATTAATTAAAAACTTAGACGGGTAGGGAATTTATTAGAGACATTAATTAAAAACTTGGACGGGTAGGGAATTTATTAGAGACATTAATTAAAAACTTGGACGGGTAGGGGATGTATTAGAGACATTAATTAAAAACTTGGACGGGTAGGGAATTTATTAGAGATTCATTTGTACGTACATGATTTCAAACTGGGTTAGTTAAGTAATTTATTCAAGCTTCATATGAACGTTCATGATTTGAAAGTTGAGTGGGGAGGGGATGTATGAAAACCAAATTTTGAAAAGTTGGCCGAAAACAAGATGCACACCTAGCAGGCATTGCCCTTCGCGTGTATTTATACATTCGTGACATACATACATCTGCTGACGGCATCTATATCCAGTGTTTGGTCTGAACAACGTTGTATTATCTAGTTATTGCCTGTCATGCTGGGTATTATAGTTATGAACAATTGCAATCACGAATGCTTTTGCATTTGTTATGTAGAAATCATTGCTCATATACACTGTTAAAGTACAAGTTATACTACAATAGGGAATCGGCCATTGTAATAGGTATGACTCGATTATATCACTTCAGGTAACATGTTTACCTGTTCTATGACGTCATGCTTAATCTGATATTGGGCTGAGAAGTTTACTTCAAAAAAGCAAGTTAATGCCATTGAATAAACACTCAGGTGACCACAGTAGCTGGGTTGCTGTTATGTCTATGACATTTCGTTAATGATACACAAAAACTCCTCCTCTGTAAATTTTCTTTTATTGAAGATACCTATAACATGTACATAAATCATAGGAATAATTTCAGATTACTATGTTTTAATGTTTCTTTAACAATATAATTACCAAATATGTTTTAGATGCAAGTATTGCAATGGCTTTATAATTTTATAATACAACAGGTTTCATATTACATCATATACAGCGTACATACTTCTCTTATACATAATACTATGATACTTGAGTGTCTACAATGAATAAGGGTTAATGGTACATGTATCTTTGACCTTAGACAACAATAGTTATTTCAACCCCCTGGCATCTTTAAACCACCTCCATCAGGGGCGGATCCAGGATTGCCTAAAAGGGGGGGCCGAGAAATTTTTCTCAATAGTCAACGGTGTGTTGCGAAAGGCAGCAGCCCGAGCGCGTAGCGCGAGGAGGGGGAGGGTACAGACCCCCTCCCCGTAAGGGGGGTTTGGGGGATCCCCCCCAAAAAAAATGTGTTTTCTAGAACGTCTCAGAAGCGATTTCCCGTGTTCTGAGGATTGTTTTTATGTTTAATTAACAAGAAGAAAAAAGCATATTTAAAGTATGGCCCAAAGACTTTTTTTGTGTACTGGAAAGAAAATTTAAGTTTCGGTTCAAATTCTCTATCAACAGCGTGTTTTAGAAGTCAGATGGTATTATTATAGGGGCAACCTGGTGATGACAAATGTATGAATCCACAGGGGGCTTGTTCATTATTACCTAATTTGGCGTCCCGCCCGCAAGGGGGATACGAGAGGTCCACCGTCAAAATATAAATCTAGTCTTCAGACATTGTACGTTTGTCGTACAAAAGAA